CCTTGCTGACGAGGGTGCAGCCGCCTGGGAATGCTCACACAGCCAGGAGTGCCAGCACCTACAAGAGCCCTGCAGGCCTTAACACCATCAGCAGGACCGAGGACCAAATCTGGTCTTGTATGGCAGCTGAAATCCATTATTATGGGGCCTACTTCAAAAGCAAAATTTTAAAGTTAGCCCTGACAGATAGATAACATAAAAATGCGTGCCAGGACTCAAGACAAGAGTCTAGTGATGAGATCTGACCAAAAGCTCACATTGGACTTGATAATATTTGAGGTCCTTTCCAACCCAAACGATTCTATGACCTGAAAGTATCGGGGTTTTTTTCTTGACCTGTGTCACTTTATTCCAACAAAGGACACTACCTCTACCTACAAACTGTTATGGCTACAGGTATTTCAGAATTCAAGCAGGGCATTAGTTCTTGCATGATTTACTTACATATTAGTATACATGGAAAATTCTGTCATAGAAAGCCAGAAATATACATACTGTCCCATCCATTTCAATTGTACTACTAGAGCTTACACAGGTAAGCACCTGCAAGGAGGTAGAGTACACCAAAATGAAACCTAAAGGGAGACTTGGGAAGGAAAACTATAATTATTTAGTCCAAATATGACCAAGACACAAAGCTAACTTGTAAAGGATACTGCAGATTTTTTAAAAATGCCTTGAGTGGTCCAAGACTTCAGTCTTGCCTGCAGTCTGAGAAAAGCATGTGGCTGCAGGGGAGCAGGGCCACCTGCTGGGCCACCTGCTGGGCCACCTGCTGGGCCACCTGCTGGGCCACCTGCTCCTCCTGCTCAGGCACATGGGGCCAGACCTGGGAAAGCTTTAAAATACCATTGCAGGTATGCATTACCCATTTACTATGCAATGAAAACTAACAGAATTCAGCTGTTCAGGTGTTGATTATTTGACTATCAACAGCTGAATTTGGGGAACATTCCCTGATGTTAAGGCTGTGTTTAATTGTTTGAATGAGAACTAAAATAACATGATTTTTTTCTCTTCATCAGATGTTTTCTTCTATAATATTTGCTGCCATTGGATTTCTGGGAGCTGGATACTGCTTTATTTTGTCATCAGTAGCCCTACACAAAGGCCCTAAATGTCAAAACAAAGGAAACTGGACCTACCCCTTCCATGATGGGTAAGACAAGGCAATCAGAAAACAAAAGATATACATGTTTTAAGTTTGTGAGATGATTCAAATTCCAAATCCATTGTATAAAAATAGAAATTAGTGCCTGCAGCACACAGGAAGACTTCATAAGGTTCAAGAGCAGGGATGTAAAGAATAGCAAGTGCAATCAAAGCTACTGAGTTTCAAAGGGGCCAATAAAGAGAAATGCACAGCCTCTTTCTAGGTTATTCTTGGGATGATAAGCAACATATGGGGATAATTCCAATTAGATGAATAGCTATGACACATTGAGACACTTCTTAAGAGTCCTGAAGGAATTGGCTGATGTAATTGCCAAGCCACTCTCCATATTTGAAAAGTTCTGGCAGTCAAGAGGAGCTCCAGGTGGCTGGAAAAGAGGAAGCAATACACCAATCTTTAAAAAGGGTAGAAAAGAGGACCCTGGGAGCCATTGACCTGTCTGCCTCACGTCTGTGCCTGGGAAGATCATGGAACAGTTCCTCCTGGAAGGTCTGGTGATGCACATGGAGGGCAGGGAAATGGTTTGGGACAAGCAGCATGGCTTCACCAAGGGCAAGCCCTGCCTGACCCCCCCAGTGGCCTCCTGTGATGGGGGGAATCCCTCAGAGCATAATGGAAGGACCACACAAGTCATTTATCTGGACACAATCCCCCACAATATCCTGCTCTCTAAATTGGAGAGAGATGGATTTGATGGGTGAACTGTTAGATGCAGAAGAAAGTGTTTGGATGGTCACATCCAGAGGGTGGTGGTCAGTGGCTCAGGATCCTTATGGGCATCAGTGAGCAGAGGTGTCCCTAAGGGATCCCCCCTGGGACTGGTGTTATTTCACATCTTCATTAATGGCCCAAGATGATCAGAGGGATGGAACACCTCTTCTATGAGGAAAGGCTGGGAGAATTGGGATTGCTCAGCCTGGAGAAGAGAAGCTTCAGGGTGACCTGATTTTGGCTTTCCAGTACCTGATGGGAGCCTACAAGCAAGATGGAGAGGGACTTTTTATAAGAGCATGTAGTGACAGGACAAGATAATGGCTTTAAAATAAGAGTAGGTTTAGATCAAGAATTAGGAAAAAATTCTTCCCTGTGAGGGTGGTGAGGCACTGGCACAGGCTACTCAGAGAAGCTGTGGATGGCCCATCCCTGGAAGTGTTCAAGGTTGGGCTGGACAGGGCATGGAGCAACCTGGGACAGTGGAAGGGGTCCCTGATCATGGCAGAGGTATTGGAACCATTCTGTGATTCTATGATTATTTTGAAATTTAATGGTATTCAAATAATTACTGCTAATAATATTATATATAAAATATAATATTAAGAAATATAGTCTATGTATAATTTTATTTGGGCTATGGCATTTGGAAGCTGCTTGTTCCTCATGCTCTGCAACTCAAACATGTTTGCTGTCATGTATATTTATCACTTAACTTCAGCAATCCCACTGCTTAGGCTGAAGTCAAGACAAGTTCAACAAACAACAGGGCACAATGTGCTACTGAGGAGAGCAGGTGTAATCAGAACAGAACTGCAGTAAACTCCTCCTCACCTCACAACCTTTAATACAGTCTGCCTCTGTCAATAGTGACCTGGCAGCATTTCTTACATAATATAGAAAAAAATTATACTTCAGGTTGAAAAGGAAAAAAAAAAAAAAGAAAGGAAAAAAGAAGTATACAGGTAGAGGATTACTTGTTCATGGGTCAGTGAGGGCTGGAAAACAACACCCCTGGTCTCATTCTGAGAGTCTTTGGAAACACACTCTGCTTCATAGTTTGGGTTGCAGTCCAGAAATCGCTTGACAAGAACACAAACAAGGCAGCACGAAGAATAAGCAGATGAAATACAGCCAATGGTTAAGCAGTTTACAATTAAATCAAAATGTGAAGGTAAAAATGATGGAAGTTATTACCTTTACTTAAGGTGAGGCATCTAGAACAGCAAAAACTGTTACTTTCAGCTCAGTGGGCAAGAGGTGACTTCCATAATTTCATGATTTGTGTTGCTAATTCAGTTGTTTTGATTACAATGTACTTCCTTGTTCCCAACTGTACTTTGAGATACTGGATTACATGCCCTGATCACAGTCCCCCACCCACTCTCACACACAAAAAGTGCTGTAATCAAGTAAAAGCAGCAAAAATGCTCCTGACAAAACACTGGAACAGATAAAACCTATTTGGCACATGCTTGGCTAAGATCCTTTCTTCCCAAAACACTCAAAATGGTTCAATTGTATCAAACACATACTTGTCTCCAATTGCTCCCTTCTAATGTCTTGCTTTTTCAAACCAACTTACCAGAAACTAAACTGCAGTCCATGTCTAGATTAAGTAGCACCAGTGTGATGATGGAAATTCAAACTGAAGTGAACAGCACCTCGGCCATGTCACAGCACTGACAACCTCTCAGTGCTGACAGACCTCTTTTATAAGCTAATATATTCTTCTTCCTATTTTGTTCTGCTCTAGGAATTACCTTTCTGACCACGCACTGTGGGACCAGTGTGAATCACCTGAGAACATCGTGCCCTGGCACCTGACCCTCTTCTCCCTGCTGCTGGTGATGAGTGGGGTCCAGGCAGTGCTCTGTGCCATCCAGGCAGTGAACGGCCTCTTTGGAACCATCTGTGGGGACTGCAAATGCTGCGGCTGCTGTGGGGTGAGCAGTGATTTTTTTGTTTTTGTTACTCTGTGTAGTGACCTCCAGCTGACAGTCACAGCCTCCTAACACACTGCCCAAACCCTACACTGCTGCCATTAGGAAATAACACAATCCTTTGAAAGTCACAGCAAGAGTAGGCAGGAAAAGTAGCCCTGGAAAGGGCTTTTAACCCTTTAAGTGAGGCAGAAATAAGATGCACAGCTCCATGGGCGTCTGTCATGACAGGAAGGAAAGAGCCAAGTTTATTCAGAAACACACTTGGTTTTATAGCAGGACTGCAATTCCAAGAGTAGAGAAAAGGGGATTGGTTCAGAGAGAAGACACCCCATGGCCAGGGCCTGGGCACACACCACAACAGGGCTTCTATCTTTGTTATTAATTCCTTTTTATTGTGACCAAATTATCACCCTGGGAGAAATTCTCCCTGGCCTTGAGCTGGGCCAGCTTATCAGGCTGGGAACAGAGCTGAGAAGATCCAGCCTGGAATATTTTTCAGGCTGTAATTTTCTTCCTTTCTCAATATGTGTCCCTACAGGAAATTACCTGCATGTTTTTATTCTTCCAGGGAGATGGACCTGTCTAACAAACAGGAATTTTGCAGACAACTGTCCTTGCCCTGGAGGATCCCCTCTGCAGCGCTCCACAGAGCAGCCCTCGATGCACTGACACTGGCTAAGACGAGAATGAAGGGCTCTTCCTGCCACCAGTGTTATGGAGCCCTGACTCCCTTTCCAGCCTTCCTGGAATCCCTCAACATGGAATAAAATAAGTGAAATACAACTCTCACATTCAGATTCATTTTTGTAAAACAGCTTCCATTTAAAAAGAGGGTATTCTCAGGGAAAACACAATTTTGGGTTACAATTTTTATTCAGGTCAGTGAGGTAGCTTGTAACTCCTCAAAGCTTCCAATCTATACCTGAGCATTAAACTTTTTGCCCATGTTCAATTTAGCAGCATTTGGCACAGTGCTATGAAAGAGATAGGAAAGACAGTAGAGAGCTAGCTCAAAGGCAAAAATGCCTTTGAGAAAGACCTTTAAAAACTTTAAAAGAAAAAGGTACTTCCCAAAGGAATCAAGGAGAAAAAAATAAGAGGAGTTGGAGACATTTGAGGGATTCAAATCAACTAATATGCTTCTTTAAAAAAATTCTGAAACAAATTTTCACAAACCAGCTTGCCAGGCTGGATGTCTCAATGCTTGATATTGGCTATATCAGTTTCCTAAAATTTTCCTCCTGAAATAATGATTCTGTGGCCTGTGCTTTCAGAAAATACATTTAATGTACTGTGTATTTACACTAGGAGATATCTGAAGAATCTAGAAGTACTTAAAAGCACTGAAAGCACTTCAGCAACATGCAGAAATGTTAAACAGTTTGATATAGGTACTGAGAACTATGTTGTACAAGACGATAAATTGCAAAAATAACCTCTGCAGAAACAGCTGTCTGCCCCACCTGTTCTACTGCATTTCCCAGGAATTTGAGGGCCCCCTTTATTTCAACACACGCTGTGCAACCATCTCACATCTATTCTTCCATGTGTGGTGAGCAGCTGTCCTGCACCTCATCTCGGATTTGTAGTTTGGTTTATATGAAGCCTTTGGGAACAAGGAGTGTTTCTCATCAGCCTTCAACAAAGGGATGGGTAGCTGCACAGGGTACAGCTTTGATCTATCAATAAACAGAGCACATAAACCTTTGTGGGAGATGGGATAAGAAATAACAGGCAGCAAGCCATGATACCCAAAGCCAGAATCAATGAGCCTCCAAGAGACACCCAGCCACGAGGGCTCTCTCACACGAGCTAAGATAGAGCAGGAACTGACACAAGGGGCACACATTTCATCTTGTGATCTGCAGGCACACCTTGGCCTTCAGGTATATTGAAAAAAGGTAAATGAGCCAGAACCAGCAGGCCAGCTGAACTCATACTTTGAAGTGCCAACAATGGTGTTCCCACATCTATTCAGTTAAAGCTAACATCTGAGGCTCTCCCCCAGCACTTAATTTCAAGCAAATCACATCTGCAGTGTCAATTCTGCAGTAACTGGAGATTGTTCTGTGTTTTTACTCCACAAAGCATCCAGTAAAATCAAGGACAGGGACTAATCCTAGATCCTCATAACAGAGAATGGTGTAAAAAGCCAGTGTTAATTCTGGAAAAGAAGGCAGAGATAAAGAGAGTGCAGTGCTATGAAGGGACAGAAAGATGACGGTAAAAAAGAAGCCACAAACAGGGATAAAGTGTTACCAGACCTCAGGAACCCTGACCACCTTAAAGACCACGCTGTGTTACAGTGTGCAGAAATATCAGCACACACTAATACAGAAATAAAAATAATAGTAGCCAAAAGAAAGAATATTAGTATTCTTTGTAAAATCTCAGAAATGCCCATGCTGGCTGAAGCTCCATTGTTCACCCATAAAAACTGGCTGCTGGGTGACCAGAGTGCTGAGAGCATGGCAACGTGGACACTGCATGGCACTGCTTCAGCTGAGAAATGCCAGAAAAGGATACACAGGGGTTAGTGAACAACTCCGATGACAACATGTGATTCTGAGCCATGCACTTCATCGGTTCAGCCCCTGCACGGCTGAGCTCTGTACAGTTTGTTCTCTTTTTTGATTGTCTTCAACAAATACACTGCAGAAAAATTCTATGTTAAGCAGAAAACAGTGCCACCTCTCGGGGAATGATGCATTAATGGAGGCTCTTTGCAAAACGTTCATCTCTGAAGGAGAGCAGTAACATACAGTGTTGGAAAAAAGTCTGCTCAGCCCGGAGCAAGGGACGTTTTCTCGCAGCCCTGCAGTCTGCAATGTTCTTCACCTGTCTCCTCTCCCGGTGTAACCAGCTGCAAGGCAAACAGTGCCAAAGCCTGGAGTCATTCCAGCTGCCACAGGCTGGGAAGGCTTCTTCCATCACACTGATACGGGTGGGGTCTTTGCCCCCATATTTTAATTCAAGTGTATATTGAATTGAATATACATATTGAATATGCATATACACGTATGAATAATTGAATACAACATAAGATTGAATATTTTAATTCAAAATGTATGCCTTTTTCACAGAACAGTATTCTGCACCTTTATTCTAAGCAGGGTTTTACAGCTCCCTGGGAAGCCCATACTATAACCCTCAAACCTACCCCTCCCCTAAAGAAATTATTTTAAAAAACTGATACGCATCCAAAATCTTTCAAGTTCATTTGTATTTTTTCATGTAAAAGACCAAAGAAATAATTAAAAAAAAAGAAAAAAAAAAAACAAAACAAAACAGAATCAAACCCAGGATACAACAGTTTGATCTGATTGCCTCTAATACAATATATTGCCTGGTACTAAAAATTAAAAACAAATGCTCACACAAGTCATATAAAAAAATGAAAAAAGTAAATAAAATAGTTAAAGAACTAGCATGTACATGGATGTATGTATTAGGAAACAAATTTATTTGGACAACCACCCACATTTTTTTGTAATTAAAATATGTATTTAAATCCTTCCCTTCCTCCAAACAGCATTTTTTGACAAAAAGTCAAACCCAATCCCTCCCCAAGTTACATTCTAACAGTATTACCAGAATACAAACTGTAATTAACCATGTCCCATTACTTCTGTATCACCACGACTTACATATGCCCCCTCAGGGATAGTCACAGCAAAATTGTCCACCTGGCACATTGCTTGTATTTATACTACAAGTAGACAGTGTACAATTGAGTACAGTAAATGCTTAAAACCTGAAATAGTACAGTGAAGTTCTGTCAACAATAAATTTATTTTCGTTTTACATGTGCTTTGAATACTGCAAAGTTCTGCCATAAGCCTGTTTAAAGCCAGACATTTTTTAAAAAATGTAACTTTGAAAAATAGATTTTATTGTCATTGCACTTCATCGGCTACATCATCTCAGTAACAAAAATTAAAAGCTGACAGTGTAAAAAATCACTTTCATTTTAACCAAAATTTGTTTCAAGACTGGGTAAAGATCTAACCCAAGATTTTGGCAGCTGTTTCAGCCTCAAGTGTTGCTCGACACAGCACCTGCCTGTTTCAGATCTGCTGCTGGTTTACTGTGGAAGTAACACAGAAACATGGTTTATGAATGCTTTACCCTTCTGTGGTCTTTGCACCAAGACACTCAACCACCAGAAACACCAATAAAAAAGGAATCAAGCTTGCAGCTTCACAATTCTGAGAAATACCTGTGTGATTTCTCCAGAAAGGTGCATTAGTTTTGCCCGTAGGAAGAACAGCCTGTTCTGACAAACTGTGCTGCAGAGTCACCAGCCATGAACAAAGTGCATTCTGTGACCATGACCTGCTCACCTGGGCCCCAGCAGCTCGCAGGTGCACAGCTGCTCTGGGTCACTCCAGCACCAAGGGCTCCCTGAAAATCTCCAATTCTTTACCAACATCAGTCATGGTACTACAGAACAAAGCCTTAGGACCATCTGTTTTTCATTTAGGCTGACAACCTGAAGAAATCCTTAAAAGAGAGAGATTAAAACTAATTACAGTAATATTGGTCAGCCCTGCCCGGTCCCCTGTTCATTGAAAAGACATTTATGCTATCTCAGCAGTTAGCAAAACTAGCAAGAATTAAAAAAAAACCCAACTAATAATCCCTCAAAAGAATAAAACAAACACAATGCCCATTCAGCAATTAAATTCTGTGCAGACACAACTGTGCTGTTACATCTCTTTTTCTATTAAAAAAAAAACCCAAAAACATTTTTTAAAAGCTACATTTTATTATGTAATAAAATTTCACAACTGTAGGTCTTTGCCTGACATCTCTTTTTTCAAAATTTCAGTGTGTGTGTGCTTTTTATTTTCCATCCTGTGACACGATGTACACTCAGCAGTTCCTCACAGACACTCACTCTGGACTGAGTGCTTCTGTCACGTTTCTCACTGAACACCAGGGATTCATTTGCTGTCTCTCCCTGTCTGCAGCCATCCTTCCCAGCAAGGTTCTCATTTATTACCTCATCATTCATCTTCCACATCCACTCTGTATTCCCATCACTTCATCACTGACCTTTTATCTACCTTCACCCAACCAGCTGGAAAAAGTCTTTAGGGGTCAATATTCTGACACATCAGTAAGATCCTGTTAAGTGTTACCAGACCTGGCAAACACACGTTTACACTCAGTGCTACATCTCTTCTTCTCTTTCCATAGCCTGGATTAAGCTTAGAGAAAAGTTATAATGCCTTTCATAAAATTACCTATTTTTCAATACAAAATGCTTAAATCCATTAATTATAAATAATTGCTAAACATTTAAGAATATTCAGGACTTCATTTGCATTTCAGGGAAACTGCAGGCTTAATCTTCTTGATGTCTTCTCAATCCCAAACCTCTGATAAGGAAATTTTGTAGGATATAAGACATGTAAAACCACACAGCACATGCCTCATGTCCCAGTTACGGTCAGTGAAAGACATAAAAACTAAGCAGCTTCACCAGGTGAGTCCCAATGCTGCTTTAGCAGTGCCCTTATAAAGTTCCTGGGTTTTTTTCATGTATACAACTACATGTATTTTGACATTGTCAGTTAAAAACATCACTGGAAACAGTATGAGGAAGGTTATTCTCCCCCTATATATGACATTAACAAGTTGTGCCACATTTTCCAAAACTGATTTTAAAAGAACACTTTTGCACTTAAGATACTTGCCACAGATTTTATAGATATAAAAAATTGCTTGTTCATATGTTAAGTTACAAAACTGTAGTGCTTAATACAATAATCTA